TTTGGGGTGGGTTTTGGGGTCTGAGAGGGTCCCTGCTGTTTCCTTGAAAGGTCAGTTTTTAATAATGACACAGACATGGTTAAGGGGATAAAAAAAGGGTTTTACTTCGGTATTTGGGATCTCAGGTGGTGCTCAACTTGATGGCAGAATGCACTCGTGTACAGCACAGGTACAAGTTTTATAGATTTCAGGAATTAGTATATTTATCTAGGATTTTCTAATAAGAAACTTAACAAATGCAGTAATGTCTTCTTATTCTAATGAATTTCCCCCCACCAGGATGAGGCTAGAGCTCAGTTTACACAAGATATTCCAGACAGAAGGCTTTACTCAAGGCTTGAGCCTTGGGTTTAAGATAGTACAGAGTACACTGACTCTTTTTTCAGAATGTTTAGTCTTTCTGCCCAGCAGAACTCTTAAACTAAGTTAGAATATTAATCTTCGTGAATTACAAAAATGTAGGCTAAAAGGTGCAGGCGGATACATGGAGAGTACAGAAGGTACTCTCTAGGGTTAGGGTTAGGGTTAGGGTTAGGGTGTAAAAAGAAAAGGTGTAAAAAGAAAAGCAAAAATCATCAGGCATCACTGCCATACCCTCAAATTGTCCTCATCCCCCTCAAATTCTCCTCAGGGCGTACGCTCGCATCGGGAACTCGTATTTCCGCGAGGAGCGCTACAAGGACGCCGTGCACTTCTACAACAAATCCTTGGCCGAGCACCGCACGCCCGACGTGCTCAAAAAATGCCAGCAGGTACCGTGAGGGGCTGGGGGATGGTTTTAGGGACCTCCCCAAACCCCAAAACCCACTCTGAACCCCACAATTGCTGCCCCCAGGCTGAGAAAATCCTAAAGGAGCAAGAACGCTTGGCTTACATCGATCCCGACCTGGCGCTGGAGGAGAAGAACAAAGGCAACGAGTGCTTCCAGCGAGGTTTGAAGGGGGAAATTTATGGGGTTTTTTAGGGTTCTGTGGGGTCTGAGACTCAAAAGGGGGTTCTGTTTTAGGGGATTACCCCCAGGCCATGAAGCATTACAGCGAAGCCATCCGGCGGAACCCGCACGAGGCGCGGCTTTACAGCAACCGCGCCGCCTGCTACACCAAACTGCTCGAGTTCCCGCTCGCCCTCAAGGTCTGGGGGGGCTGGGGGTGAAATTTGGGGGGCTTGGGGTGGGTTTGAGGGTGCTGAGGGTTGATTTGAGGGGTAGGGACCAGTTTGGGGTTGGTTTGAGGGGTGGGAACCAGTTTGGGGTTGGTTTGAGG